TTAAAAAAAAAAAAAAATCCAGCCAGTGAACATTCCAAAATGGCTGGGGGAGGGGCTCTCAAGAACACATCCTGAGGTGAGAGGTATTGGCTATTAATCAGGCTGCTGGGTGAGAGAGAGTCAGTTTTCTTCCATGGTGTGACCTGGGCTGCAGTGGGTAGCCCTACACCCCTGTGCACACGGGCAGCACTAATTAGACTCAATAAGTTAATATAAATAGACTCAAAAAGAAAGAAAGAAAGAAAGAAAGAAAGAAAGAAAGAAAGAAAGAAACCAGATATGAGGGGTGGGGGTGGGAGTGTGTTCTGGAAGAAGTTAGAGTGAGGAAGTAGAGGGTGGGCATGATAAAAACATATTGTGCAAATGTATGAAATTCTCAAAGAATAGATTAAATAAAAAAATTAAAAATAATAATGTATCCCTCATTTAATTTTATGTCTTATAGGGTTTATACGGAGTACAATACTGTATAACTGTATTAATTCAACTGTAAACCTAAAAAATTTACAGCCAATTTTGAAAGAGAAGTATCTTAGCTCTGGAAATTGTTATTGAATATGTCAATGCTGTTGTAATGAAATGCCTCTTCTAATCATTTGGTTATGAAATAAATAATTAAAAAATAATGATAATGTATCCCATTACATAACAGATTGCTAACACCTGAAAGATTGTGAAGGTAATTTAATCCCAAATGTTTACTTTGTGAAGAAAGGATGATAGGGAAGTCCCACCACTAAATGAAAACAGTGATGTTTGAGACCTCCAATGGGGCATATCAGTATACGGTAAGCATGAAAGAGCAGTTTCTCAGAAAGGTGCTACTCAAGGAACCTGCCAAATGGGCAGGGCTGGATCAGTCTCCACTTTCCTTAGCACTCTGAGAAACAAACTGGAGTCAGCATTTGGAACTCAACCCCATTCCCCACAGGCTGCAGGCACTCCTTGCCAGGATCTCCTGGCTTTGAATTTTGTATATGCATGTTAGTGGCTTTCACAACTAAATAAAACAAAAAAGGAAGTAATGCTTGTTATGTTTCCTTTGTAAAACTAATAAAGTCTGAAAATGTTTAAGTTCCTTAGAGGATTTAAGAAAAACAATAACTGCATTTTAGTGGCTGAATTTTATCCCTTTAAAACCCACATTAAAGCCTAACTTCCAATATCTCAACATGGAGATTGTGCTTGGAGATAGGTCTTTAAAGAGTTAATTAGGGCAACATGACGTCATTAAAGCAGGCTCTAATCCAGTTTAGCTGCTGTTCCAAAATGAAAAGTTTAGGACACAGTCAAGGAAGGCTGTGAAGACACAGGGAGAAGCAGCTGGCCAGCTGCAAGCCAGGAAGAAACTAAACCTGACCACACCTCATCTTTGGAGTTCTAGCCTTCAAGACCTTGGGAAAAGAACTTTCCTTTAAGCTACCCAGTCTGTGCTACTCTGAAGTGGCCATCCCAGGAATAGTAAGAACTTGATTTCAGTGTAAAAATTTTCGTTTGTACCTGGACACTCATTGCAACATTGACATATACACGTATTATTCAACATGTTACTATATGACCAATAAAACAATCTCTCTTTTTACTGGTCATTTGCATGTAATTGTAGCAATTCTGCAGTTCTCAGGTATATGTTTTGTAAACCTTACCCTCTTCTATTAGCTCTGAAATGTGTTGAGAAAATACTTTCTTCTGTCAGTTACATCAGTCAGCATATATTTCCGGCATAGTTTTGTAAACATGACTGTCTTCCTAAGCCAAATGAATGTAATCAAAATTAAAATTTCCAAGACCAAATGCACATACAGACCCTTAGAAACCACAAAGCAAAAATAAATGTACATTTCACTTGTCATAACTCACTTCTGGAGACTTCCAAGGTATGCCACATTCACGTTCACCTTCTCAGAAGGACTTCCCACCTTCTTGCCAACGAAACAAGCCCAGTTCCGGCCCAGCACATCGTGGACCCACCCAGTCATTGTCTCGTGGCAGTAACTGACAACTGTCCTGCCCTTGACTTCATACTGCAATCAAGCAAGGAAAGGAAAGGACAATGAAACCTGTGCTCAGTTCTCAGTTGTTTACCTCCCTATCATTTACCATAAAGAGATTGACACTCTGCCAACCAAAATAAAAACTTAATCCCGACAGGTGACATCCTGAGAATTACTCTAGAAAACAGAAAAACCTACTTTCCTATGGTTAGCATTGTTGGTCATCAAATAAAACGTGCACAAAATATGTCTATGAATGAAAGACAATGGAAGAAGCTTGAATTTTTATAGCAACTATGGTATTCAAGGCAATTTGAAATTTAGTTCTCATAGTAAGTCTATGAAGCAATAAACAAAAGTTCTGTTTTTACCAAAGAACAAGTGGAGGATTGGTTCCAGGAGTCACTGAGTCCCCCCAAAAGACCACACTGCTGGTAAGTGGCAGGAACACAATTTCCCTCCCTCTGCTTTTCTGTTCATAGAAGAGTCCCATCAGCAAACTATTAGGGCAGATAGCAAGTATTTTCTGAACAGCAAAAATCCTTTTTCTGTTAATCTCTTAGTTTATTAGAACATGTTCATTTATGAGGCAACTTGATTACTAATTCCCTCAACTTTAAGCTCTTTATATGTTTTGATGTGAACAGTGGAAAATTACTATGAAGTGATAGACCTACGATTTGAACTCAATACTTTGGCTCCAGAGCCTCAGGGACATCATGTAATGACATCCCACTGAGAGGAGGAGCATGGACTGGAATGAGCAAGGAGTGAGGCAGGTGGAAGGAAGAAGATGCAGGCTTAGGCTTAATTTGATGAAAGGAAATATGAGTAGAAGTTTGGGAGAGATTCTACTAGGCCTTATTTTTCTTATCTGTGAAACAAGGAAATTAAAAGAATTATTCTCAAAAGTATAAATGTAATACAAGTTGGTGAACATTTCCTCCAAATCCTGACAGTAAATAATTTAGACTCTGTAGCCTGTTAAGGTGTATTACATCTGCTCAACTCTGCCACAAAGCAAGACAGGCTAGGTAGAGTAAATGCATTTTCGACATGATTATTTCTGACTCACAATGCACTTGTCAGAATCTCAGGAAAGTTGTGAGTCAGACATACTCAACCAAGCAAAACTTGTTCCGGTGGATGGAAAACTGTCTAGTATGGCTTTACACAATGCAACCTAAATCCTCTAGACTTTGATCACGAGTTTCTCTTTGGTACTAGTTCTTGGTCATTATTCATTGGTTGTTTGTTGTCTGCTGGTAAGACAGCCCACATAGGCCTGCTTGGGCCAGGCTGGTGTTAATGCTCCCTTTCACCTCTGCTGCTTTGGAAAGGAATCTGAAAATGTTTGAACTCACCTGTGACCCTCAACACAAACACACACACACACACACACACATACACACAAACACACACAGAGAGAGAGAGAGAGAGAGAGAGAGAGAGAGAGAGAGAGAGAGAGAGAGAAACAGCAGTATGTTGGAAGATACCATAGTGTAACAGAAAAAAGTTTTCTTTTGTAGATGTTTGCACATGTGTCTTTAATCTCTATGTATCTGAGTATTACTAATCACAGTTGGTTACACTTGGATCCTTAGGACCTGAGTAGGATATAAAGTCACTTGTTTATCACCTTTACTATTTAACATGAAGTAATTTTTATGCTTCCTCCTCAAATATGTCTTTTTTTAAATTTATTGATTTTTTTGTGTATATCATATAGAACATCCCACACAATCTTATTCATCTATATACCCACTTCCCAAATGGCACCCTCTCATAGCCTTCCCCCCTCCCACACACTGGAGCCCCTATACTTTGTCATCCCTGTTACTGTCCACAACATTGAACACAAAAAGGAACACAAAAGGCCACAGATGGCCAAAACGCAGAGACTAAGAGTCTGCAGAGTGTGGGTCCTTGGACAGGACTCTTATATTGAGGTCCACCCACCAAGGGCTCAGGAACCATTGCGGAACAAGGGGCAGAAAGACTGTAAAAGCCAGGGAGGAGGTGCATGACCATACAGAAATAGTCTTACAGGTGCCTGGGACCCTTCTCACATGAACCTACAGCAATGGTGTCATCGTGCACAAGACCCATGCAAACTTGAGCAGACAAAAACCCATTACAAAACTGTGGAAATGAATGGCAAGAGATGATAATGTTTATATTGTTTATATTGTCCCAATCTTAGTCAAAGAATTATTGGCAGCTAAGTACTGCGGGGTGAGGAAGAGCTGATCTTCTTGAAGGGAGAGATTCTAGATAGGCTGATTAAACTCCATTGGATGAACTTGCACTGAGGGACATCTGGGGACACTAAATTTACATGATAGGCCTTAACACAAATGACAGAATATATGAACTTGGGGGAGGGGGTGGGGGGGCTCTGGGAGGGCACCAAAGGGGAAGGGGGTGTAAAGATGATTTTCTGTATGAAATATACAAAAATTCAATAAAAAATTTCTAAAAAACTGAAAAGAGGGGCTAGAGAGATGGCTCACCAGTTAAGAGCACTGGCTACTCTTATAGAGGACCTGGGTTCAAATCCCAGCACCCACATAGCAGCTAACATCTGTAACTCTAGTTCCAGGGGATCTGATGCTCTCTTTGATCCTCAGCAGGCATTGCATGACATGGGTGCACTTACATCCATGTAGGCATAACACCCCCACACATTAAATAAATAAATACATAAATAATTTTTTAAAAACACTGAAGGTTCAAATATAAAAATTGAGAAAGTTTTAACTCATAACATTTTCCTTGATTAAAGAGTTCTATAAGAAAGGTAAAGCAGACTAAGGTGGGAGAAATCTGCCTATGTCCATAGAACCATCTTATTGGAATCGTATGAAAAGCACACCCATTTGTTTAAATATTGTCTATAGTTGCTTTCCTATCACAGAGGCAGAAACATCCTATTTTATAAATTTATACAGATTTCTCAAAACTCTAAGAAGAAACCTAAGAAGTTTGTTGCACTAGGACTTATAACCAGGGACTTCTGGTTAAGCACTGTTGCACATACCATGCCCGTCTTCTTCAAATACTTTCTTTTCACAGAAAGCTAAAGCAGTAAATGACTAAGGTCAGAGAGGTACAGAGAGGAAAAAACCCAGAAATGACATAGCAAAAGCTAAAATCCCATGGGTGCTTCCATCTCTGTTATCTGAGACTCACAATAATCTCTTGTGAGAAATAATATGAAATATTAATATAATATTATGAGAAATATTTCCCTGATGAAGAGAAAGTGGCCCTGCAAAGAGTGAGGATTCACAGAGGCTCAGGGCTCAGGAAGCTGATGTTTAATCCATTGAATTCTCTAAAAAAACATTAGATTAGCTGACTCATGAAGGCTCTGCACTGTTGTCCTTTGTGCCTACCTAAACTTGCCAGCAGCTCTTGAGGCCACCCAAGTTCCCACTGTCCAAGAATCCTGGCTATTTGCATCTCTTTGCCATTCTTATCAAGAGTTTATTACTAGAAAGCAGAGGTAAAGATATCTGTGGTCTGTGGGGGCTTAGAATGCCTAGATAGGATCCACCTCTGCCTCTGAGGGACTGTATGACCTCGTGCCAGTGTCTTCCCCGTATACTTCTATTTTCATCAGGAAAATAGGGTTGATAGAAGGAGACTCTATTCAACAGGTTGTGTTTCTGTGTTCTATCTAACTCAGGTAATCTCTATGATTGTTCTTCCCATGAAGACATAGGCATCGTGAGAACATGATTTTTTTTTTTTTTTTTTTTTTTTTTTGGTGTCTTCACTATCTAAGAAACTGTCTGGCAGTAGGACACAATTAATTATTGAATGAGTGAATCAGCAAAAATGAATAATAGAAGAAAAAGTGCCAAGACCCATTTTATCATAGACTTGAGAAACTCTGAAATGATAGGAAATGCATAATTAGTAGTGTGGAAACACCAAGTCATCTAGGAGCCGGAGACTATGGCTCATCATAGCACACTTCCAAAAATGCACACTTTCATCTCCAAGCCAGTTTCACCCTGAAAATTCAGCTTGAACTAGAAGTTTCAAAAGTTCCCTTGGAGCTTCCTAATTGCAGTCTCATGCCTGTGGTTCTACATAAATTCAGTAAAATCCAGTAAATCATTGCTACTGCAGACATTTTTATTTATATAACTAGAGAAAAAAAATTAAAAATCTCTGACTGTTGTAACTCAAATCTTGTAAATGTAGTTAAAATGCCATTTGCCGTCACTTCTGATGCATTAAACTTCGAATTATTTTTTCCTTAAAATTGTAAGTTTATATTATTTCTATAGATTTTATGAGCTAAAGGAATTTGGCCTTTTTTTTTTTTTTCCTTTTTAACCTGAAATCACCCTATGAAAAGCTGATCAGTGACACTTTTAGGGCAGACCTGTGAGCACATCCCAAGGAGGCAGAAATGAGGAACTGGTCAACATAAAGGCCAGGCACTCCGTATCCTAAACTGAGGAACCTCCCTCTGCCAGACAGTCTCCTGATTGGAAGGTTCTCAGAGTATGTCTCTTCCTGTTATTGTGAATTATTTTATTTTTTAACATTATCGCCATTTAAGAAGAAGTTGAAATTTTGGCCACATTGTCTAGCTAAAAATGTAGTCAATTCTTTTCCCCTAAGAATTTTCATTTATATAAACATCAGACTGATGTGCATTGATAAGACAATTTAAGTTTCCATTCGCTTTTGCCAATTCTTACTACACAACAAGCAGATAATTTGTTAAAACTTGAAGAACCTCCAAAAGGTCTCATAAGTTCAGAAAACTACTGTGTAAACAAACTATCTTATATATCTTCACTGTTTTCATGAATTTGGATACTTCAAAGATTTCCCTTTAAGTCACCTGAATGCCATTCCATTGATTCTCTGGCTAATGACATTCTTTAAAACAAATATTCACATCTTATTTTATATAGTCCACTGGCTAGGAAACATGGCTTTTCCTTTTAAGTTCTAGTACTGCCACTTATCCTTTATGAACCTTGAACAAGCTACAGTTGGGGAGA